AATTTGAACCCAGCCTGGACAACTTAGCCACTTAACTCTGTCCTAAAATTTAAAAAAAAATTAAAAGAGGTGGGGATGTAGTTCAGCGTCAAGGTTCTGGGTTCAATCTTCTGTACCAGCAAAGCCAAACAAGCAAACAACAAAAACCAGAGATTAAAACACCACTGCAAGACACCAAGCTATCCTTAAGACAGAACCTACCAGAAATCTGAAAGTGAAATCCACAACACAGGCACTGTAGCACTTGCATTAAATGCGACTGGCGCTATTAATGTGTTTAGTGCATATCTTCCTCTCCCTTGCAATTTCAGCATGGGCCACCAACACCACACGGAACAAATGCATCCAGTCCCTTGCTGTGCCCCTCTGAACCTGTCTTCAAGGGTTTTGATCCAGCATATAAAGACAAGCTCTTGTTTAAAATTCAAATATTTCAGAAAAAATCCTAACCTGTGACTTCCTCACACCTCCTTCCAGCCTCTTTTCCTACCCTTTCATTAACATGAGTAAACTTTACATTTAGTTAGAGGTTTTTTTTCTTTTCTGTCCACCTAACAATTCTTTCCAAGTGGAAAATGATGCACATTGACCTAGAAAGTTCCTAAAGAATCTCACTTGAACAAACTACTCAATCCTCAGATATAGAAACAATTATTTTCACTTAAAAATCTCTGCAAATATGAACTACAACTATTTGATGCTAAAATTCAAATCGGATCTCAATGGAAAGTCATAGAATCAATTGTTAAAAGTACAATAAAGTAGTATAAACTATAAAAACATTAGGTGGAGTTTATTGACAACTTGGTAGATACTGTTCTCAGTGTTTGAACAGATTTTCAAAAGTGAAGTCCCTATTACTTAAACTTTAAGATATGGCATAAATAATCATTAGTACCTCTATTCATAGTATCTCAAATCTGCGTGCTTTTCATCACTTCACAAAGCTATCCAGGATTGGAAAAATTGTGACATTGCTTCAAATCTGAGAATATTCACAATAAGGAAAGACCACTGGTACAGCCTAAATTCAGGGATTCTCAACTACACCAGTTTTCAAAAGCTTTAATCACTCACATACTGCTATCATAATTACTGTTATATTCACACTATTATCATTTAATACATTTCAACTGGTTGCTTTTAAAATTTAAAGATAACATGATCACAAAAATGAGAAGCCTGAATTACTTGCTATAAATACACTGTAAGTAGAAATAAAATTAAAAAGCAGGCTTACTAAATTCTATTTAGACATTCTTCCTGATAATCGCAAGTGAGAGTCTGTGTTTCTGTTGACACGGTAAATCAACACACATTACTGATGTACATGAACTAGGACTGACCAGTTTTGTTCTTACACAGAATGACTGCTAAGAAGACTCAAAGAAAATTGAGGAACTTCCTCACCATGTATTTTCTTCGACAATCTTTAACACTGCCAGGAAGCTTCTCAAATAACTACCTGACCTATGATTCCATATAGCTCTGTAAAACAAATCCCAAACATTCCATGGAATACCCTCAAAATGGTTGTGAAATTTTTTTTTTCAGGATTATAGGTTGGGTTTACTTTTAAATTCACAGCTGAGGTATGAATAGTTGAATGAAAATTAGAGACAGTAGGACACTGTATGATTTTTTTTTAATAAAATTTTATCCTTACATGTACAACAGACTCCAAGAATACGCTTCACTGTAGTTATAGGTGTCAAGAGAGGTTATGGCAGGGCATCCAGATACTTGAATAGGAATGGAATCTCGGGTCACCAGCATCGTACACACAAGGACTGTGTTTTTCGCCAGATGTCTTCATTCCACCTGTGGCCAGGGGCCCTTTCCTGCGGCCTTTGTTTTTAGCTCCTCAGGTTTCTCCCGTTCCTCCTTTTGCTTGTTTGAACACTCTAGCTTCCTCGTCCATCTCGCTGGTCTGTTTCTTGGGCTGCTTCAGGGGCTGCTTCTTGCCACCTTTGCAGCTAGACATGGTGCCCGCACACCCTCCAGAGCTGAGCTCAGAAGCCCGCGGCCCTGGTTGCGAAATTTCTTAAAGGGTTTCTTTTACTTCTGCTTTGGTCCAGAATCTCCAAAGGAATCTTGTTTCTCTCAAAACCTGCCTGAATACGCTTATTAATCAGTATCAAGAGAGGCAATATCGGAGTTGGTAGAACTGGAAACTACTCAAGAAATTTGTTTTCAAAGGCCAGTGTTACAGATAAAAGCAGTACTGACTGAGGAAGCACAATCAAGTTAAAAACACTACCTGGCTTGACCTTAAATTGATCAGTATAACAATCAGATATATTTTTTAACTTTTAAAAAATCTTTTATTTATCTTTTATTTACTTACTTGGTACCTGGTCTCGCTACGCGGCTCGGGCTCGCAGTGATCCTCCTGTCTCAGCCTCCCAGTGCTGGGAGCACAGGCATGTGCCACGACACCCGGTTTCGGTGGCTGGCACGGCACACCCGGGGCTCTGGGGCAGGCACAGCATGCGGTACCAGGGATCGCACCTGGATCCTTGAACTTGCCAAGTAGGTGCTTACACCGCAGAGCTACCTTCCCAGCCGAGAAATGTCTCTAATATGCAAAAAATGAGTGTAGTGGATTACGACCTCCCCAGAGGGTGGAAGAGATACCAGCACAACAGACACTCAATGTTAGGACAAGAATTTATTAAAACTAACCAAAACTCTTCAGAACAGTGAGCACCGCTCCACCGTACTGATGATCCTCAGGGCCTGTTACTCAGTGTCAAATGCAACTGGGACAATTAAACCAAAAGGCACTTAGGAAGCTCTGAAATGTTCATGAAAACTTAGGACTGGTGATCAACTGGTCCAGAGTACATTAATGAAGTTCCTAAAGTGAAAACGTTCTCGGGGAAAGTATTATTGGTATTTTTCACCTAAAAGCAAAATATATTTTATAATGACATAACCTTAAGCGATCTTTTCTTTATATGACTAAAGCAGTTACTGCACATATCTAAATTATACTGCCATCTACAGGTGAAGAAAATACTACTGTAGCATATTTTTGTGGTTTTATATTTTCTAATGACCAAATATTTAAAAGAAAACTAGGATTTAATAGTTGATATCTTTTTCTGATAACATTTATAAGATATAATTTATCTTACTAAATAGAATGTTTTCTCTAAAATTGCTTTGCTACTGAATAGAGCATTAATTCACTTTCAATAAACATTAAAACTGTGATGGATTTTTAAAAAATTGAGACTAACAAATTTTTGTGTTTATTTACTGCTAAAATATATCATGACCAAAATGTGATTTAAACCTCCATTATCTTTCTTTTTTCCTGTATTTAGGACAGGGTTTACAGGGTCTCACTATGTAGATCAGACTTGTAGTGATTCTCCTGTTTTCAGCCTCCCAAGTACTGGGATTACAGGCACGTGCCCAGTCTCCATCACAGCCTCAGAGCGCCCCTGGGGCGGGGCAGGCACAGCTTGCCGGGGATGGAACCCTGGCCACTGCATTCAGCTTAAGCAAGCACTTTAGTCCACTGAGCTATCAGGCCAGCCTTTAAACCTCCAGTATCTTAACTGAACGTTTTCATTTCTTTTCTCTCTTCCAAACTTGTACATGCAGACACTTATTTAGCAATAATTAAGTGTCAGGCAATCCTTACAGCTATGTTCCATATATTAATTCAGGAAGTCTTCACAATAATCCTGTGAAGTTGCTAATTATTTGATAAATGTTGAAATTGAAGCGTATAAATTTAAACAACCTGCCCAGTGCTATATGTAACAGATCTCTAACATCCAAACTGGAAGAATTTATATCCAAAATACATGCTTTTAATTGCTATGCCAACATGCTTTCCATTTGTAAAAGGTGAATTCAGTACGTTATGGCATTCATGAAACACACTCGTTTTGCTTTGCTGGGTAATACTGTCTAACATTACTAAATCCTTTATTTTTATTAACTATGTAATGGCTGACTCATTGCGTCAACCTGAGAAGTCTAGAAGTTTACGACTCAGCAGGGAGCTGCAGTCTTCACTTTGTAAACATCCTCATCCTTGCAAGTGGAGGGCAGGAGACGGTGTGAGTGTTGCAACCAGCCTGGGGGTGGGCAGCCTGCTCGCGATACAGGGGAGGAAAAGGCCTGCTCTCCCCATTTCGGCTCTAGTTGCCTCTGGTGTCCTCTGCACCCTGGACTGCTGCCCCTGTGCCACACCACCCTCCATGCAGGCGGCTGAATTACAAACTGAAACCTCCACAAACTATGCTAAACCTTTCCTCCCTTCATGTTGGGTGTTGGGTGTTGGGTATTTTGCTCAGCAAGAGAAAAGTAACCAAGACAAACTACATCCTTACTATTAATTCAGTATATATCTCTTTACTTACATTAGGTATTTAATGCTTGACTTTCAGATAAGTTCTAATTTCTTTCATTACATATAAAATAAATAAGCAAATTTTGCAGTGCACACAACCTTTTTCCTTCTCTTGAATTAATTCTCTTGTGCTAATACTCTCTAGGGTGTTAGACTGCTGTAGATACACTGAAGTGCCTGGTTACTCATATGTAAGGTTCCACACTGCTCCTTAAATTTCATCACTGTACCAGCACTCAGAGGACGCACAGATATCCCCCCCCACAAGGCGTCCTCCCCCTACAAAGTCAACAGAAAACACTGTTAAGGATACCTTAGGAGAGTCAAGTGTGGTGGTGCACACCTGTAATCCCAGTGCTCAAGAGGCTGAGGCAGGAGGCCAGCCTGGACTACATAGTGAAACCCTGTCTTTAAAAAAAAGCCAATTTAGGAATGTGGGACAGCTAAACTAACATTAAAATTTTCACATGGACAAAATATTTTCTTTGCACAGCAATACAAAATGTGCAGGTATTTTTGTTATTTGCCATTTATGAAGTTGATACTGCCTGATTTTGAGACGGGATCCTGCTCAGACTGGCCTTGAACTCTTGACCTCACTGTGTAAGCCAGGATTGGCCTTGGCGTCTCATCCTTCATCAAAGATTCTTTACCTCATAAAGCAGTAGAACTGCAGGCCAAAGCCCACTTTCGCACCATGAAGTGCCACCACTGCAGTCAATCCTGAAGGCCCAGGGCTTGGCTGCAGGGTGACGCGGGGTGCTCCACTCGCACGCTGATGCGGACTCTGTGCACCACACGTGCCACAGGTTTACCACCCATGAGCTAGAGTATTTGAACATTACAGTATTTCTTAAGTGTTATCGCACAGTATACGTCTTGGCTTTAAGAGACTCCATCTTATACCACTGAACCAAGGTCACCAATGCACGGTGAACAGAGGTTTCGGACTCCCACAGACCTTAAACTGACACTTGTCACAGAGCTTCAAAGCATCAGCTTCCAACTTCTTAGGACGCTGTGAAAATTAAGAGACAACGAGGAAGCAGTTCTACCACATGGAAGATGCTCCGAAAAGTCTGCCCGCTTTCCTTCAGAGTGACATGCACAAGTACGCCGAGGCACCGCGCTACACGTCGTGCTTCAGGATTTCCCTCAGACAGACGGTGGCATAACATGAAGCATCAAGATCGAAAGAGAGCAGAAGAGACGCGGGCGGCCCATCGGCGTGCAAGCCGTGCATTTGCGCACGAGCATCAAGACCTCCCGTGAGCTGGTACGAGAGATTACGCGGATGTTTCAGTATCTGCCGGTAGCACCCCGGCACATTCAGCTTCAGAGCAGGCACTTTAAATCGACAGGTCTGCAGCCCATCTCTGCCGAGTGTTTCCCTGTACCACTGCCCTACTTGGTTCTTTGGGTACTGAATATTGTGTCCGAGCACTGGAAGAACCACCTGTGAATCAGAAGGAGAAAACACGTGAAACAGCCTTCACAGAGAGCTCCGACCGCATTTCACTTTCATGACTATGACCAGCACAAACTTCGTCTCAGGACATACATGTTTCAGTCAGCCTAGAACATGCCACGGAAGCAGCCAAGTCAGAGCTAACAGCACCTTGTTCTCCTGGCCGCACGGGAGTAGACACCGCACTTTGTGGGGACTTTCCCTTGCTGATGACTTCTGGACAGTTGCGTGAATAGTACCAAAAGGTAGTCAAAAAAAGGACCCAGAGGAAACCCCTCAAATATACACAACATGAATGAATCTCAAAGTCATTACACAAGTGAAAGAAGCCGCTCGCACAGGTTCTGCCGGGCAGCGCCCTTAGATGCCATCCATCTAAAGGCAAAACCACAGCAACAGGAAACAAACCAGGGTTTCCAGGGCGCGGGGCAGCAGGAGGGGCTAACGAGGAAACCCGACGGAGAGATGAAATTATTCATACTGATTTTTGAGGTGGTCATGACTATGTTTATGAAAATTTGTAGTGCTGTACACTAAGTGAATTTGCAATAAATAACAATTTAAGCTACTAAAAAGGAGGATCTTGTCAACATTGTGTTTTCTGGGGACAATGCTAGTACCACAGTGTAAAGTGATAGTAAGTTTGCAGCAAGCTCACCTGGTGCACTGCGTATGTGCTGGCTGCTTCCTCTTCCTCAGTTACCACATGGACCTGTTTTTTTAAAAAAACATGATGAAAATGAGAGGCTCCCACTTGTTTAAGTTGCATCAATTTTCCCAACTGTATTTTGTATCATTTGGTTCCTGGGACGAACATAAATGTCCCCAAACAGGACCTTTCCGTAGCAACGTGCTTCTGGCAAAGTAGATTACGTGAAAATTCGAATTACTCTTCCTGCTTCAAACACTGAGAACTAAAGCCAGAAGACAAGCAGCAAGGCGGCTGCTCCGCGCAAATACTTTAACTTTGGTCACCTTCTTTTCCTGAACTAGAAAACCTTTTTTTTTTTACCAGGCTGAATCCGAGCTCTGCTTCTGCACAACCAGCTCCCCAGCCTGACCCCGCTCCTGCCCCGGCCAACACCGCACCGCAGTGGTCTCACACCACACGGCGCCTGCCGTCTTTGTTTCACAGAATAGCAGTAGGCGTCACAGAAAGGAGAAAAAACAAGAAGTGGAGAAATGTTATACAGGAGATCACAGAGCAACGCTGGGCATAGTGGCACACGCCTGTGACCCCAGCACTTAGGAGGCTGAGGCAGGACAATCACCATGAGTTTGAGGCCTGCCTAAGCTACAACAGAGACTTCAAAGCCAAGCAGCTTGGATGCAGTGAAACTCAGAAAAACCAGCCAAAAAAAAAGAGAGAGAGAGAGAGAAAGGACTCTGATCTCTCTTGCACCGTCTCTTCCACTGTTTTGTTTTTCACAGATTCATGGGCATCCCTACCATACTGGGATTTAAATAATTTATGAACAAATTAATTCCCAAATAAATACTGAACACATACAGTCAAGTAGAGCGCACCAGGCTTGGCTTTTTAGAGCCTCCTTCTGGGTTGGCACCTAACAACTAACTAACAAGCACACTGCTGCTGTATGACTGTTCCCCAGCTGGGAATTCATCTATGTCTTAAATTGCGTAACCTACAGTTTTCCACTTCCCCCTTAAGATACCACATAAGAGTATTAAAGGCCAGATTGGAAAGGGATCTAATACACTGAAAAGCAGCGATGGAACACGGAAAAAAAGAAGATAATTTTGGCTTTAAGCCTAAAGACATAACTATGCCTGAACCAATCAAAGGTCTTCAGTTTTAAGGACTGATAATTTTTGTTGGTTATTCCTTAAGTTTTGAGTTATATTTGTCTTATTTGAATCCCAAAAGATTCTCTTAACTTTTAAAAATTTTTCCATTTACTGACACCCTACATTAACAGCAGAGCAGCATTAGGGGATTACAGAGCAAAATACATACACATGTGTGTGTGCCTGCACGTGGTCATGCACACGTGGAATGCACGTTAAGTTTTAGGTTGTTCCCAGAATCAGGGCTTCCGAAAATTAAAGACCCTCGTGAGTTAGCTACATCTCTCTGATGAAGTACTACTTACTTTACTGCTTGGGGAATGCTCATCGAGGGCTTCCTCCAGACAGACCAGATCGCCTCCCACCACTCTTGCTCCGTAGGTTGCCAGTCTGTAGGACACTGCCTCATTCCAAACCTTGCTACTGTACGCATGAACGTAGAATATGCGCATGGAGTGGGGGAAAGAGAGCCAGGCCTGGACGCAGCCCTGCTCAGTCATGCCGAAGCGATGCAAGGCCTCCAGCAACGCTCTCTCTCGACCTCTGAACTCGGGCATCAGTGAAAGTGTGCCTTTAGGGTCCTCTGCAGTGAACAGCAAGGCAGACAGTCAGCCGCTTTTGCTTAGAGCTGCTTGTGGAGACCTTCCTCATGCCGCCTACTGCCTGCAACTACGAAGGCGATACTTGGCACGACCAGTTAAACTGTGTTATGCTTAAAGAGCTATTTTTTGAAATGAAGTCATTCATTGTTTAACCCTCCTTTTACCTTCCTAGGTAGAAAAAAGAAAAAAGTCCAAAATTAAGAATAGTTTATAAGATCTCTTTCTTAGAAACGGAGCTAATTTGCAGTTGTTTGGAAGACTAAACAACAGAAAATCCCACAAAGTGAACAAATCACCAAGTTAGGAGGGACTCTGTGTGTGCACGTATGCGTGTGTACGGATGGATGGAATACTCAATACTTGAAACTGAACCCACGGCCTCCAACATGGTAGACAAGCACTGTACCACTGAGCTACTCCCTCTGGACTAGATTTTTTGAAGTTTTATACATGTATACATAGAATTTTAACAGTAAGAAAAAAAATTGAGATCCAGATCCTCCAAGTATACTGGACCTTTCCAACAGAATGCTTTTTAAAATGCAGATTCTTGGGCTACACTGCAAAGATGCTTATTCACATAGCTCCTTACACCAGTTATTTCACTGAGTTTATTAAAGTTCCATATGCACACTAGTTTAAGAATCACTGACAAGAAGAAATTACGTCCTCAGACTCCAAAACAGATACAAGCAAGTCACTGAATTCCTTTTAGTACTAATTAAGATTTCACCTAACAGTTACAGATGAACGCACTGTTCACAAATCACAATGTGGAACAAATATGGTACCACCTCGTGAATGAGGATCGCTATATGACATGGATACAATTTAAAATAATACATAGAAATACTTGAAAACTGCTGTTCCTCATTTCAGTGACATTCAGTATATCCATGAAAGCAGATCACACGTCTGAACAAACCTAAAGCAGTAGGGTTGCTGCTGTCCTTATTTAATACAAGGAATACAAGGAACATTATTATCTAGCATATCACACATGCCAGGCAGTTTTTTTTTTTTTAAATAGTTTTATTGAGAAGCAAACAGCAATGAGACAGTTTCAAAACCGATGAGTAGGACAGTTTCAATAATTAATGCATTGCATGTTGTTGTCTTCTTAATGGCTATTCATAGTACAAGATGCTGACATGATATCCTGTCCAAACACTATTAGTACAAATCTTTCTTCTCACTGAATTAAGAAAAAGTAGCTGCATATCTAACCTAACTATTTTGAATATACAGATACAAAATGGTCCCCCCTTTGTATCCCCTTTTTTTGTTTAGTTTTGTCAGAGAAGGGTATTCCGTTGTCATTTAAATATTGTAGGTATTTGAATTCAGCAAAATATTCCAGTATAGTCCAGTAGTCCATAATAGTAGTGGGTCATTCATAGGACTAGTAATGTCAAAAGTTGTTAACCTGAGCCCTTTACAGCCCAGCATACCAACATGGCTTCACCTCTTATACCTCGTTTTTTTTTAACCTTTCTGCTGGATGGTTAGACCAAGAAAAAGCAAGACCTACATAACAAGAAATGTAACTTTTGTATCTGACAAGGTCAGTCAAATCCCCTCAGGATTTACCCTGAAACCCTGTACCAGTTTGTAGATCCTTTGTCAGCGTCAGCCATGAGGATGAGTCATGGCCATTGCTTGACCAATTTGCTCTCTGTGAAAGCCCGAGAGAATGTTTTCTCTCCATCTGACTCTCCTGAGTGCCAAGTACAGTTTTAAGAGTGTTATTTAAATCTGTTAGCAGTCTTTTAAGTACTGCACTTTGCTTCAGTTCAGCGTTATGGCAAGTAAAACAAGGGGTTAAGTCATCTGCCGAGCAGCACTCACTGGGAAAGCCCTCAGGCAGGCAGAGAAACCCAGGTGGTCCAACTGGGGCCGCTCTTCTTTACTGCATCCCATTAAGCTCTCTGCACAGCAACCATCCCACTGATTGGAAGTTTTCAAAATCAAAGTCTGGGCTAAATGTCAACCTGATCCAAAACAATGCATAAAGCAGAGAACTCTCGCCTAGTTTACATTTGGTTCTGGTTCTAACGAGTTATACTGTCATCAGTACCAACTGAGACTTGGGAATTCCTCCCCACAGAAAACCTTGGCCAAGGAAAAGTAAGAAACTATTTCTCTTCTCTCTCCTACTTGCAGGGAATATTTATAATAGAAAAAAAAAAAGTTCCAGAGATATGATAAAAATGAAGTGCTTAGGCCATGCAATAAAATTATTCAAAATGCAACATATTTCAATCTATTTCTCATCACACATAGATTGCAAATAAAGCCCTCCTGCTGACATAGCATTTGTATTACATATCTGTGCGGCCACAACGGGATAAAGCCACTTACGTACCAGTTTCAAGAAAAAATTTCTTGGCTCTGTTTACAGGGTCTTCCAAGTCCTCTGGTGTAAGAAATAATTTTACGGCCTTCACCTTGAAAAAGCAAGCAAGAAAACACAGGCTGAATAAAAATGTCAAAATGTTTTTAACAGATACAAACTCTTGGCTATCCTAAAAGAAAAGGCATTTGATAAATGATATTTGATGCTATCAAATTCTCTTTAGACTTTTCAAGATTAAGTAGTCAATATTACAAAAGAAATACAATCTATTGTTTGATCCTTGGTACCGCAAAAAAAAAAAAAAAAAAAGAAAGAAAGAAAAAGGAACACAACCCTTCTGTACACCCCAACTGTCTATGCCGATTTAAAATATAAGAGGAAAAAGTGCCATCTCCCCACTCGTTTGAGTACTTGCGCTTCTAGCATTCTTCAGTTGAGTGTGAACACAAGTGTAAAGCAGTGACCTAAATCCTCAAACTTGATCAACACAGGGGAATGGTGAGCCATTAATTTCATTTCTATCCTCAAGTCCCTGATTTCTTTGGAAAATGGTATCTGTATCCTACTACTGTCTCCAGCACAGGAATTTATGACTCTGTACTCCATGGGTCTTAGAGTATGAAAGAATCTTAAAATACGTCATTCAGAGCTGGGTATGGTGGTACATGCATGTATACCCAGCACTCAGGAGGCCGAGCTAGGTTGCCATGAGTTCGAGGCCAGCCTGGGCTATACAGTGAGTTCAAGGCCTGCCTAAACTACATAGCCACACCTTGCCTTAAAAAGAAAAAAAAAATCTAGGCATGGTGGCACATCCCGGTAATCCCAGCATTCAGGAGGCTGAGGCACAAGGACTGTGAGTTCGAGGCCAGTCTCAACTACATATTGAATTCAAGGCTCATCTCAAATACAGTGACACCCTATCTCAAAACGAAAGTCATTCAGCTCAATCTTCTTATACAGTATTCAAGCATTCTAACAAATATTCCATCAAAATTAATACATTCAAACAAGTATAAAGCACCCGCTATTTGGCAGGTACAGTGTAGGGCCTGGATACAGTGTTGAGTGAAAGGGGCATAGTCATGTCCTAATAAAGCTTACTACCTACTAGAAAATATGAAATAAGCAGCCAAAGTAAAATATAATAAAGCTTAGGATGGGAAGTCAAGGATGTTGTGAAACAGTAAGACATGTGAGTTCACTTTTTCTAGGAGGAAGAAAAATACTTAAATTGTGACATATCATCCTACAAATGAAAATGGGTATAAGACTACGATCTGAATATCTTGCACTGGTTAAACATGACTTTTACAGTTTTGTAACTGTCCTCCATTATGTGCACTCCATGCAAATGTAAAAATACATGCCTAGGTGACTCTACATAAACACATACTGAAAGTCCGCACGTACAAACCTTCTCATTGGACAAGGGAGCTTATCTGTGATATGTACTTTTTCATCTGAGACTTGTCAGATTTTTTCAAGTTTGTTGTTCTTCTTTCAGTCTCTGGCTTCCACATGATGACACCTAAGTTATGGAGCTGGAGGGTGCTTCTTTAATTCCTCTACTCAGTACGCTGTCTGTCCAGTCTCCCATAAGACACATTACACAAACTTGGCTTTTTATAATATCATATCAGCAGTTACTTTATATTCAATGATGAAATACAGGTCACATATGTATATATGTGTATATACACAAGTTATATCTAAAACAGCAACATGGTAGCTTAGGTAAAACTTAGTAAATCATAATGAGTAATAAGTAAAAACGAATAAATAGATAATAATTTTTAAAATCCATACCACTTCACTCTTCAACAGTGCCAAGCCAATTTGGTCTGTGTGAACTTTCCTTCCCTTCCCGAATCTCTGTGGTCCATAGTAATTCACAAAACCTTTAGTCTGTGAATAAAAAATATCCCATGTATCAAGTACATAAGCTTATTGTATCAAAAATTTATTAAATAGTCCTCTCCAGATCTTAAACAAAAAAAACCATAATTGGTATAGGCATACAAGAAGCAATGGTGAAAATAATATTTAAAGACTAGAAAGGAGAAACAAGCAGAAAGGCAAGAGAGCATAAAAGAACTAAGACGGGTTTTTTTCAGACATAGGGAAACAAAGAGTGGGTTAATCATCTAATACATAGGTGAAAATGAGAGAGAGAGAGAGAGAGAGAGAGAGAGAGAGAGAGAAAGAAAAGAAGGTAAAGTGGAAGCAAAGCTCTGTAACTAAGGGGTTGAAAGGGAGGAAGGGAACAGGAAACAGGAAGAACCAAGATAGACGCTGCACAGGTACAAATTCCCTGTGATGAATGCAATCATTATGCACATCTAAACTGCACCGGTAAACTTAATAATTAAAATTTTAAAAAAGCAAAAAACACCTGTAAGAAATAAAAGATCTTTAGCTAGAAAGTATTTCCTGCCTTAAGGCAGCCAGGCTTTGTTTGCTTGTCTATACGGCTGGAATCAAATCCTGCATAAAAGCCCTGCGGTGAGGACCGGAATCAGTGCCAACACCGGCAGCAGGCAGGACCACGTAGGACCTTATTTTAAAATCCCAGTGTCAGGGCCTGCGAGGCAGCTCAGTGGGCTAAGGGCCTGCTAGGCAAGCACGGGGACCGGGTTTGCTCCCGGGCACCACACGCTGAGCCAGCGCCACCGCGGAAGCCGAGGCTGCGACCCCACCGCCCCCCTCGCACGCCTGCGATCGCAGAGGCGGGAGGCTGAAGGAGGAAGATCACTGCGAGTCCGAGCTGTGAGACCCAAATCCACACATACATATAAAAGTAAAGTAAATATTAGTGTCAACCCTCACACCCAAATGGTCTTATCTAACTGGTCTGAAAGTCGAACTTGACCGCTGGTGTTTTTCTTAAAAGCTCCTCAGGGCGGGAATTACCGGGTTAGATCAGGGATGGCGAACTACTAGAGCCCAGAGGTCAGACGCGGCTCCCCACAGCACTCATCTTTGCGACTTCCCTCTCGGGAAGCACAGCCGCTCGCCCATTTACCTGCTGTGTGGGGCTTCCACACAACGCAGCTGATGGATCACAGTAGGCATCAGGGGAAAAAAAAAACAACAAAGGAGCTAGATGCCTGCAAAGCAAAAAAATCAGTCTTCTACAGAAAATTTGCTACCTCTAATCTAGATGATCGGACTAAAAACTATGTTTGCACATGCGTATTTACAAACCTAGCATATGTCACTTAGAAACCCAGGTAATGTGTTACTATATATAACTTACATATGTATATATAGAAGAAAATTCAAAATTAGCTTAAAAAGAAAAAAGATTATACACAATCTTAAAAGCAATATATTTACCAAAAATTTCTGAAAAGAATTACTGAATAAAATTTCCAGAAAGTAAATTTCTCTAAAATACTGCTCTACAAGGAAGGCATTTTTAAAAAACCTCTTACGCACTGACCCTCCTCCTCTACTGTGAAACTTCACACATGGTACTGTATTTGTAAATCTGTACTTATGTTGGGTTTTAACATAAAGACATACAAAGAAGAAAGCAGAAAGTAAGGCAGCTGACTCTAATTATCATTTAAAAAATTTTTAAATATAAACAAGAAAAATCAAGTGTCCACCCCTCTTCACTATAAAGAGAGGAACTTTGAGGATTTTCTTGTAACACTGTATTTTTTGTGTGTACAGTACCTGGGGTCAAACCTGGGATTTTGCGCTTGCCAGGCGGGCATTTAGGACACTGAGCTACCTCCCTGGCCCATAGCACTGTATTTTAAAATTGAGTTTTCTTAGGGCTGTCCAAATAAATCAGCGGATTAAAGCGCCTGCTTAAGCAGATGCAGGGGCCAGGGGTTCGATCTCTGGGCCTGCTGTGCTGCTGCCCCATCCCCCTCAAGCTGAGACGGTGACTGAGACCGGGTGTGGTGGCGTAGGCCTGTAATCCCAGCTCTTGGGAGGATGAAAACAGGAGGATCACCACATAGTGAGACCCTGTAGACCCTACACTAAATACATGAAAATAAAAAAATAAAATTGAATTTTCTTACCTTAACATTTTGTATTGCTTCCCAGATTCTTTCTCTCAGGTTTGCAGAATCATTTACTTTATTTTTTAAATTTCTAATGACAACATCAAAGTGATTTCCTTTGAGCTGACCAAGTCTAAGAGAATCACTTACAGATCGAATGTTAAACACATTCATTCTTTTCTTTTCAATTTCTTTTTCAGTATTTTTCAACCTGTAAGTAAAAAATCATAGACTCAGTGAAATCTCACATTAAAATAAACACTTCAATATAAGATTTCAAATGATCACTGCTGAGTAATTCCTCACATCAAACACAAGTACTAATACAATATTAACTTTGGAATACTCTAAGGCTAACGCTATTTCAACAAATACACACTAAATCATTGCTACTAAAGGAGCACTCTGGCAATCCCTTTAGGAATCGGAGCGCATGGCATAACTGCTACCACTTAGCTGTGTAGGCTCCTGACTTGGCTCGAGAGACAGAACCTCCGACAGTCTCCTGACCTTCCCAGGTGAACCCCAAAGTCGGGCTGCGCCATACCCCAGTGCTGGGCCATCCTGTCCCCAGACTTGGCACTTTCCCTTCTCAGCCTCTCTTTTACCAATACTACCAAGAAAAATTACCAGCACCAGATAGTTTTCTATAATTCTGTTTTACCTCCTCACTCAAACCTTCAGTTCTTGCCCAACATCTAGACAACAGATTGCAAAGTTCTTGGCGTAAATTTCAAGGTCCTGTAGCAACCACTACAAATTTTCCTTCACATCCCTATGTTCTGTGCTCCTCACAAAAGATACCTGTTTTCAAAGTTGAGTGCTCAGTGTATTGTCTGACTGCTCAAATATTTGCCTTAAAGACCTAATCCAGGGCTGGTGAGATGGCTCAGTGGTCTAAAGCACCTACTTAGAACAAGCTAAGTGAA